GAGGTTCCTTGATGGAAGAAATTATGGTCCTCCAACCTTTGTGTGCCCTCCTCCCCAGCCCCCACTGAGCACAGGTCCTTGATCTTACTAGGGGCTCAACAGACCAGAGGGGTAGACTGATAACAAGAGAGATGGCTGAGAACCCAAGTTGTCCACAGGGTTCCAGGGGAAGTTAGGGGGGAGGCACAATGCCACTGACAGGAAAATGTCTCACTAGGTGCTGGACCCACACAAGTAGCTTTACATTAGCTCTTTTAAGCCTCACCATCAACCCTTTAGCCACATTGGTCTTCTGCCTTTGCAGTCATGATGCTCCTTCCCACCTCAGGACATTTGCACATGCTGCCTATGCTTTCCCGAGGATGCCCCTCTCCTGGCTCGCTCCTACTCACCCTTCACTGAAGTGTCTCTTTCTCAGGGGGACCTGATCTCTCAGATGGGGCCACACTTTCCTTATGTGCTCCCCATTTCCCCACCAATAGCCCTCACCCCTGTTTTGAGTTATACATTTATTCTGAGGCTCTGTTTTATCCCGTAAGTGTCCAAGAAGGTAGGGGCTAATGTCTGGCTTGCTCACCACTTTATCCCAAGTCCTCAGGACAATGCCTGGAATATAGTAAGTACTCAAGAAAAGATGAATCCCAACGTACAGTGAGGAAATCGAGAGTCAGTGAGGGGAAGCAACTTTCCCCAAATGAGTGGAAGAATTTGGCTTTGGACTCAGACCTGTCTGGCTCCAAAAGCTGGTGCTCTGAACCTCCTTGCTAGGTATGTCCTTGCACCCTTGTCCAGGGCCCCTGCTGTCATGGGGTCTGGCTACGTCGGGTGGTGGCAGGCACCTAAGATGTGAAGAAAGAAGCATTGACCCCGAGCCAGCGGGCAGTCACTGCCTTGATGGATAATGGAGATGCTGGCCGGTAGGCCCACGCCTGCCTCCCCGAACAACCACGCACGATGACTCAGGGCGCTCCTTGGGCCCCACCTGGGGCCCAGTGACACAGCAAGCGTGGGGTGTGAGCGGCTGGTTCCAGCAAGCAGCAGGGCCCCTGTGGTCCGAGGAAGGCTGTCCTTGTCCCCTCACACCCCAGTCCTCTTACCCCTGCCCTCTGGGGACACCTCATAGGTGGCATCTGGTTTCCTCTCTGCTCTTCTGTTCACCCGAGTCCTAGCAGCCCCTTGTGTCCCACTCCTTCCCCTTCTGCGAGCAGGGCCTGCACTGTGGGTACTGGCTTGGTGGGTGCGGGCTGCAGCCTTGCCCAGCGGGCTGCAAAGGCAGCGCAGATCCGCCCTGGGTCTCAGGCGCCAGGGTGCCCTGAGCTGAGTGTGCGCTATTTCTCACCTGTGCTCTGGAGGTTTCCTGCGGGAGGGGTTTCAGGTGGGACTCTGAGGGCAGCCCCCGAGCCCTGAGAGGGTAGGAGAGCGAGCCAGAAGAAATCGCTCACCCAGGCCAGGGCTCTGCGAGCCTCCCGCATCCCTGAACCCATCTTCCGGAGTCTAGATCCCTGTGCCAGACAGGGAGAACTTGGGGTGGGGGAGGGAAGGGATGGCGCCCAGGGACTACGGGAGGAGGGTCTCATTTCCCGGCCGCAGGACTGTCCAGCGCAGCAAGCTCCTCTTGACACTGGAGGTAGGTGTGGAGGGGACTGTCCGATGTGGGGAGCAGGGCCGCAGTTGGAAATTCATCCAGAGACCCCTCCAGACAAGGCCTGATGCGTGCACTGTATTTATGGCCCCTGACAACCGTGTATGGAAGGGCTTCTCATGAGGAAACTGAGGCCAGGGCCCCAGGGCAGGGAAGGTGGGGCTGGGAGGCAGCCCCTTCTCTCTCCACTCCACTGCTTCCCTGAGCCCCAGTGAGGGGTGCCAGATGGAGAGAGCAGAGAGACAGAGAGAGAGCTCAGGAGAGGGTGACAAGCCCCGGAGCAGATGTGCAGGGACAGCCCAGAGGTGGGAGAAAGGCCTGGACCCCTTAGCACTCAGGGAAGGGAGGGGGGCTGGTAGTGACCAGTGTTTCTTCAGTGCATGTAGGAAATTGGCCAGCCAAGTCCAAAATTTAGGGAGAGCCAGCTGTGACAGTCGACCCGGAGTGCATGAACTGTTAGGTCCTCGCCTCGCGGTCCCCCTGGGACATGGGTGTCCCCACTGGCAGCCCAGCCTTCCCTGGTAGCTGCCATGGAATTCGGAGGGTTACCACCTGCTGTTCTGAGCTGTGTGTGGGTTAGGGCCAGCCCCGATGGTGGAGGGAGGAGGTGGCTGAGGGCAGAGTTTGGAGGGCTCTGGACCCGGGCTGGAAATGGGCTCTCTCACGAAAGTCAGCTGGGTAGGGGTACCCCAGCTGGAAGCTTCTGGTCAGTCAGGCAGGTCCCAATTGCCCCAACACAGTCAGGCCTAGACTTTTAGGACCACCCCCTACCCCAACACGAATGCATTTGCAGAGAATGCACGTGCAGGGCCCGAGAGGGGCTGCTCTTCTGGCTCTGGCCTCCCCTGCTTACCCCAACTCTGCCAACCCCTCCTGTATCCGGCTCGGGCATCCAAGACCTGGGGGGTACATCCCGGGGTGGCAGCATCACATGGGGATCAGGGGAGGAGGTAAAAAAAGGCTAGGGCCTTCCCAGGGCTCCAATCACATCGCAGGCAGCCTGGGAAAGGTTTACAAACAACATGCTTGCCCCCAACCGTGGTGTAAGTTCCCGTGTGTTAGGTATTCACAAAATGCCTTCAAGATTTTTTTGTACTCCCTGTTTAATTTTTTATTTGATATTTAATATTTTATATGACCCATTTAAATAGTTACTGCATTTTGGTACATCAGTTTACCTGTCATTTTAACGAATAGATGTTTATGAAGGAAATCTGTTACTACCAAAAAATGAAAATCAGGATCACTTGCCAGAAATAGATGGAAATGACATAAATAAATACTTAACTTCTAACTAGATGCTGTTGCTTCCTACAGGCTCTGAGCCCAAGGCCAGTTTTGGGTTGTGAAACTGCGATTGGCAACTAGGGAAGTGTGTTGAAGGGGCTATAGGGTCCAATTGAGATTTTCTCTTTGACTGATTGGAAGGTTGAAAAATAAAAAAAGGAATGTTTTTCTCACCAAGTGACTCAAAATTATTTCACAGAGTCTCCGTGTGTTGCCTAAAAGCATCTCAAGAAACATTCGTCCTTTATGAAGCCTGAGCATCCTGTAGCTACAGCCCAGAGGTCATTGCCTTTTCCAGAAGCTGTTGCTAACCACCTGGAGTCTCTCTTCTCATCTTTAGTTCTTAGCATCTCCTACCTGGAATGACCGGTTATCCTTCTTTTATTCCATATGTGTTGGGATCTTAGTTGGATGAGACATGATGCTGGGTACCGGGACAAGTACAAGATTGAACAATGGAGCAAAGTGCAAAGCCAAAGGGAGAGGACACAGGAGGGCTTCAAGAAGGAGGGGGCACAGAGATGGGTCGCCAAAGATGAGTAGGAGTCTCTGGGTAGAAAAGATGGAGGGATATTTGAATTGGAGCAAACTGGAAGCTCTGAGCATTATCTGAGGTTTGAAGGGCGTTCGGGAGGATTGCAGGATTGGGTTAGGGGGTCTGGGCAATGACAGCAGATGGGGCTGGAATGGAAAGATCGGTATGGGCCTTGAGTGCCAGGAAGGTGGACCTTATCTTGGAGGTGAAGGGAAGTGCCTGGAGTGATGGGGTCGCACCCAGGTGTGGGAAGGAAGAGTCAGGCCTGAGAGAGGCAGGGAGAGCAGCTATGAGCTGATGGCAAAGATGCAGGTGAGGGCAGGGTCCAGAGGGCTGCTGTGGTTGAATGATCAGAGGCAGTCAAACTGATTCTCGAGCACTTCTCATGCTTCTCTTCCTAAGAGATGGACATACCATTAACATCATCTTTTTACAGAGGAAGGAACAGAGGCACCGAGTACTTACATAACTTGCCGAAGTCACGCAGCTCAACCCAGCTCCCTGCTGGGGTTGACTCAGGTAGTCTGGCACCAGAGCCCCCTGCCTTCCTTACCTCTGTCTTCTGGCCTTGCTCACCAGAACATACTTCCGACTTTCTGCCCAGAGCAGGGGGCTTGCAAATTCCAGGAGGGCTGGAAAAGCCACACATCTCTGGATCCCCCTCCCAGGGCTCAGTACAGGCTGGGCAGTCAACCAAGGTCAATTCCATACCCACTGCTGGGCCCTGATGAAGGACCAGGACAGTCGAGCCTCTTGCCTTCCTGCTCAAAGGTCAGCCAACATCAGCACCGCCTTATTTCTCCTGCATCCTTTGTGTGAGCCTGGCTTGCTGGGTCCGAGTGCTGGTGGGCATATGCTGCTTTGTCACCGTCTCAGCCTCTCTGCCATGCCATTGTCTCCTTCATCAGACTGGAGTCTCTGAGAGCAAGGACTGGGCTCCCCATCAGACTGGGGTTCTGAGAGGGCGGGGGCTGGGCTCCTCACTCTACTGGCAGCTCTCTGTGGGCAGGGGCTCCCCCGTCCTCTATGTTAACTCCTTGGTACCCCAGTCCTAGCTCCCCCAGAGTGGGCACAAGGTGGGAGCAGGGAGGGGGACAGATGGTGATAATCATCAATGGGGGAGGTGACTCTACTCCTGGGAGTTTCTATCCCAGAGGGGCTAAGTCAGACTGGCAGTCGGGCCAGCTAGAGACCAAACTCTAGGATCTGGGTCACCCGCTTGGCAGCAGAGCTGATTTATGGTGCCCCTGACAGCCTAATGTCACTAAATTACCCCACACAATGGAGAGAGGCTGGGCTGCCTCCGGGCAGTCACCAAAGGATGCTGAGCCCGGGGCAGCCCTGCCGCCTCCCGATCCCAGACCTCCTTCAGGTCTGTGGGGGGAGGCTGGTGCAGACAGAGGGCACATCTAGGTGTGCCACCTTCAGCTGGGGGTATAAGTAGCAAGCCTTGGGGACGGCTTTGTACCCTGCACTCAGGAGCTAGCAACACTCTGACGACTGCTTCCTAGCCCACGAGCAGCAGCAGGGCCAGCCATGAGCTGCAGACAGTTCATGTCCTCCCCGTGGGGCTGCAACAGCTCTAGGGGCAGCATGATGTCCTCATTCAGCCGCATGAGCTGCTCAGGGGCTGGTGGAGGAGGGGGCCAATTCAGCTCTTCCAGTAGCTACGGAGCCGGGAGCTCTGGGGCCTGTGGGAGGGGAGGTGGTGGCAGTTTCGGCTCCAGCTACGGTGGAGGATCTGGGGGTGGTTTTAGTGCTGGTAGCTTTGGTGGACGTTCTAGGGGTTTCAGTGGTGGTTCTGGAGGATGCTTTGGGGATGGATCTGGAGGAGGCTTTGGGGGCTCTGGGGGCTTTGGTGGTAGTTCTGGAGGAGGCTTTGGGGGTGGTTCTGGAGGAGGCTTTGGTGGTGGTTTTGGAGGAGGCTTTGGGGGGTCTGGGGGCTTTGGCAGTGGCTTTGACAGTGGTGCTGGTGGTATTCTGGGTGCTGATGAGAAGACCACCATGCAGGACCTCAATTTCCGGCTGGCCTCCTACTTGGATAAAGTGCAAGCACTGGAGAATGCCAACAAGGAACTGGAGAATAAGATCCGAGAATGGTATGACAAGCAGGGACCCAGGGCCTTCCATAGGGATTACTCCTCCTACTATGACACTATCGAAGACCTCAAGAACCAGGTAAGTGGGGAAACTCTGTTCCTTCTCTCCTGGTCTCTTTGTCTCTCTCTCTCACACTCACGCACACATACACACACACTCACATGCCTTATCTTCCAAAAAATGTCAGATGCTAAACTCTAAGCTTAGGTAACAGTCAGGGGGTCCATTTTTTGGAAACATACTTTCATCAGAAGCAAACTGTGTTTGGTTCTTGATGGCACCAGGGCTGGGACTTTGGCCTGTGCTCTGGGCTTTTATCACCATGTTCCTAACTTTCAGAGTCTGAGCAGAGCAGAGAAGAGGCTTAGATTAACGTGGGGGAGCCTGGGACTGGATGTGGGGGGTCTCCTCTTGGCCTGGTCCCGGGATGGGAATGAAGAGGCAGTGTGGAGGGAGCATAGAGATGGAGGCACTCCCCTGAGAGCCAGTGATGCAGTCCTGGGTCTGCCATCAATTCACTGTGTGATCTTGGGAAACCTGATGCCTCTCTGCACCTGTTCTCCTGTGCATTTAATGCAGAAGATGGGCAGACCAGCTCTTAGGTCCCTGTTGGTTTGAAACTTCTGTAATCCTATGAAAAAGAGTTAAGAGTGCTACTGCCCTAAACAGGTAGATCATATGGCTCAAGAGAGGAGAAAATCTGTGCCTGTCTCTCCTCTCACGCCCTAAGAATTTAGAGCTTTCTAGTTTGGAAAATTAGAAGCTGTGTTTCTTCCTTCCTACTTCTCCGGGGCTTCTATAGAGGCCTGTCTTGATATTTCCAGGTACACATGCTAGTTGTTCAGGTGATGAACAGGATCTAGAACTCTGGGGATGGAAGTAATATATCCACTCTTCCATTCCTCCCACATGCTCCCCCCATCTACCCATCCTCCCACCATCCATCCATCTATCCAGTCATCCATCCATCCACATGTCCATCTATCCATTTATTTATTCACTCAATTTAGTGAATGACTACCCTCAGTGTTGCCCTTGGCAGACATGGTGATGTACCAGACTTGGTCTCTGTCTCGAGGAGCTCACAGTCTAGCTAATTTGCTGTTCCCACCTGTTCCCCTTGCCTTTACAACTTCTGATAAACAACCTCTAGATATCCTGTTTCTTCTACCCCAAACCTCTTCGATCTCTTTATCCATGTGCAATCTTAGCTCTCCTTCAGGGACCAATTCAGTTGTTACCTCCTCCCTGAAGTCTTTCTTGATCTCCTATAGCCATATGTCATCTCTCCTTTCCTTGATCTCTTCTATGATAACTTTGGATGTGGTAGTTGATTGTGGGCTCCTTGAGTAGCAATATCTCATTGATCTCTAAACTCCACAGTGTCTTTTGTAGTAAATCTTCAAATATTTGTTGAATGAATGAATGAATGCCATACTGGACATCCTTGCTGAAGCCTGTGAGGGGTCTGTGCCTTGTAGCAGCTGTTGGAAGCTCCTCTTACCTCTTAATCATCTTCCTGGATGGGGTCCTCATCTCTTATGGCTTTGCCTGGCTTCTTGCCCTCCCAGCAGTGAGTCATAGCAGGGAAGCGTGAGTTCCATGCCATCTCCTCTTTTTTTTTTTTAGATTGTGAACATCACAGTGAACAGCAATAAGACTCTCCTGGATCTTGACAACAACACTTGCATGACGTTGGATGACTTCAGGATGAAGTGAGTCCTGCTCCCACTCCCTCTGCTGTCATAAATCTTTCTCTACCCCCTAGTGCTCTGAAGGTCCCAATAGGGACTGGTACCCTCTTGCTCATTTCCTACCTGTGGATGGTCTGCAGGTATGAGATGGAGAACAGCTTGCGACAAGAAGTGGATGCTGACATTAATGGCTTGCGGAAGGTGCTAGATGATCTGACCATGCACAAGTCTGACCTGGAGATGCAGTATGAGTCTCTGCAGGAGGAACTGGTTGCCCTCAAGAAGAATCATCAGGAGGTACAGTCCTGGCTACTTGTGCCTTATTGAGGATAAGGAGGAACAGAAGTGCAGAGACAGTGAGGGGACAGCTATGGGGCACTGCCTGGGAGACATCCTTTCCCTGACTCTTAAGGACACTCTCAGTGCCTCCTTTGCAATGTCTATGGTGGTGGTTGGGCTTTGCCTTCACAGCTGTGCCTCTTTTTTGTACCTCTGGGGAGGGAGGGGTGAGGGCTAAAAGTTGGTGGAGAGAATCCCACCCCTTGACCTCACATCTCCTTTGTTCCTGGCAGGAGATGAACCAGCTGACTGGGCAGAACTCTGGAGATGTCAGTGTGGAGATAAATGCTGCTCCTGGCAAAGATCTCACCAAGATCCTCAATGACATGCGCGAGGAGTATGAGCAGATCAGTGCTAAGAACCGTAGGGACATTGAGGAGCAATATGAGACTCAGGTCAGCAGAATGGGCTACCCATTCAACCTTCTCTCTCTCTTCCATGGATCCCTCCACTCCTCCACCCCATCTCTCTATTCTCCCACCCCTCTATCTCTTAGTCCAGCTATCATCTGTCCATCTTCCCTCATTAAACAGCAACACAATTATTGAGTAGCTTGTCAGTACCAGGTTTTATGTGAGGTCCTGATGTCTCAGAGATGAGCCAAATAAGACTGCTGCCCTCAAGAAGCTTACAGTTTATTACATATGTGAACAAGGCAGAGCATGAACAACTCGTGTAAGGCTATGTGCCATCAGAATCTAGTAGAGGTACATGGTGTGCCTCTCATGCCACACTGAGCTCTCTGATGGGCCTCCAGTGCCTAGCATAGACCCTGGCACATGAGGGCATATCTGTAGTGTGTGTGTGTGTTTGGGGTCAGTTTGAAATAAGGTTAGAAAGGTGGTTTGGGGAAGGTATGAAGAGTCTTGAAGCCTTGCTGAGAGGGAATGTTAAGTTGAGAGGATTGGATTACCTTGGCTAACTAGCAGACCCAGAACTCAGGATGACTTGTCTTTGTTTTTGGCTCACTCTTGGCCCTGGAGGCAAATGTCCTGATAAGTGGGGCAGAGCCTTGCCCATGGTAGTCTCTGATACAGCCTGGTTCTCATTGAGCTCTTGGGTTTTCAGATGAGCCAGATGGAGCAGGAGGTGATGAATAGTGGCCGGGAGATGGAGTCTAACCACAAGGAGGTGACCCAGCTCCGGCACAGCATCCAGGAGATGGAGATTGAGCTGCAGTCTCAGCTCAGCAGGGTTGGTAGTTCTGCTCTAGATCCTCTGCCAGAGTGAGGCACTGAAGGCTTGGCATGATCACTGGAGTGGGAAGGGGAGGAGCTATGATGTAGCATCCCTCTTATAGCCTCCTCCTGCCTCCTAGAAATCAGCCCTGGAGAAGTCCTTGGAGGACACCAAGAACCGCTACTGTGGCCAGCTGCAGCAGTTGCAGGAGCAGATCAGTAACCTCGAGGGCGAGATCACTGAGATCCGGGAAGAGATTGAATGCCAGAATCAGGAATACAGCCTTCTGCTCAACACCAAGACACGGCTGGAGCAGGAAATTAAGACCTATCATAGCCTCCTTGAGGGTGGCCAGGAGGACCTGTAGGTTCCCCAGGACTCTGTGGAATCCCTAGGAATTTCTAAGCTCCTGACACTACATCTGTCCCTCTGGATAGAGGCAGCTGGGGAAGTTCCTGTACACAAGGGTCTGATGGGTTGAGGACTTATTCACCCTGTAAGGGAACCTCAAGGCATTTGGGCTTTGGGAAAGGAGGTTGGTAACAATGAGAGAAGGGACTAGTCCTTGCTCCAGGGAGAGGGAGGCTCTCCCTTCAAGCTGTGGTGCCAGTCCAGCCTGTCCTCTACCTTGCAAAAGGAAACCTTAGGAAGATTCACTTTTGGGTCCTGACTCTGTCCAGGTCCATCCTTGAATATGTATGTGGGGTCACTAATTTTTCTCTCTGTGTTATCTTTCCTTCTCAGTGAACCTCATGAATCTGGACGAAGTCACTTTGGAGGTGGCAGAAGTAGATATCAAGGTGGAGTGGAGGCAGTCACGGAAGAGGATCCTGGGGAGGAAGTGGAGGCAGCTATGGTGGAGGAAGTAGTTCTGGAGGAAGAACTGGAGGCAGCCACGGAGGAGGAAGTGGTGGCAGTTATGGTGGAGGAAGTAGTTCTGGAGGAAGAAGTGGAGGCAGCCATGGAGGAGGAAGTGGAGGCAGCTATGGTGGAGGAAGTAGTTCTGGAGGAGGAAGTGGAGGCAGCTATGGAGGAGGAAGTAGTTCTGGAGGAGGAAGTGGTGGTGGCTATGAAGAAGGAAGTGGGTCCAAAGGAGGAAGTGGAAGACCATCTCAGTCCCAGTCCTCTTCCTCCAAATCTGGTGAATGTGATGATAAACAAGGTAAGGAACAACTCTAGCTTTTGGGGTCAGGGAGGCACAGGTGTTAAGCTGTCAAGGTACCACCCCTTTTTGAGTATCTTTGAGCTTTCTGGAGAATGCATATTCTGAACAGAACTAGATTTTAGGGAGGTCTCTAGTGAGGGGTCATACACTTGCCCATGTTTCTGAATTATCATTAATTTTGACAGAACTTTGGGTGAGGCTAGGACCAAATCTACACATGTCTTGAGTCTCAATAGCATAGGAGATGGGTTGGAAATTGTGCATTATCTTATATATTTCCCACCACACCCTATGAGGTTGGTATTGTTATACCCGTTTTAGAGATAAGGAAAATGAGGTTCAGAGAAGATATGCAGCTTATTCAAGGTCATACAACTAATAAATGAGGGACTCAGCTCTGTGGGTCTCCACAGCCAGTACTTTTAATCATCATGAGAATGGGTATAAAAGAGGTTCAGGTGTTGTAGTCAGTGGTTGGCTCATACAAGTCAGTTATATGGCGCAACCATCTAAAGGGACATATACTGAACATAATAATCTAAATGTAGAAGAGTCACACAGTGAAGTGGTCTCCAGGTCAGAGAAAGTTTCTCCTTATGCATGTTGAATTTCATAAAATAAAAATTTAATATGAAATTGTAGTAAAAGCCTGGGTAACATAACTGGGAATGCTTAGCTCAGAGAAGTCTTGAGGTGCATGGGAGCTGTCCTTCTCTAGGGTGTCTGGTGTGGTTTTGTGTGTTAAGTGGCACTGCAGGGCCATGGATGTATGGGCTGGGGCCACCCTTGCCTCAATATCCAAGAATTTTACTAACAAACCTGTTGAGTGGAGGAGGGGCCAGGCTCATGAGCCTTCATCCTCAGAAATGGAAGAGTATCGGGGCACCTGGGTGGCTCAGTCAGTTAAGTGTCTGTCTTTGGCTCAGGTGATGATCCCAGGGTCCTGAGATTGAGCCCCACATTGAGCTCCCTGCTCAGTGGGGGCCTGTTTCTCCCTCTCCCTCTGCTGCTCTCCCTGCTTGTGCTCTCTCTCTTTCTGTCAAATAAATAAATAAAATCTTAAAAAAAAAAAAAAAGGAAAGAAATGGGAGAGTATATGTTAGGGCTGCTGCAGGAGAGCTTTAGGAATTAGATGGGGGCCACTGGGACCCCAGGGTCCTTCTAGCTCTATGAGCTTCAGTCTCCTTGCTCCCAGTGTGCCCATCTTTCTTTAAGTCCCAGTATCTCTTTCTCCTGTTCTAAGTTCTCTCTTCATACTCTTACGTCTCTTCCATCTCTCCACAGGCTACCAGAATCGATACTAGAGCACCTGTAAACTCTCCTGGCCCTTCCCTAGCTGAGTGTCCTCCAGACAGGCAGTCCCCCAACGAATCCTGCTCATTGTCTTCTGGCATCAGGAATAGCTGGCAACGAGCCCCAGAGCTCATTTGGGACTGGGCTGAGTGGGCATGTATGCCTCTGGCTGCCCATTGACTCCCTCTCTTGGGAAGGTTCGGGAGACCTCTCTTCCACTGTCTGGTCTAGGGGTGACCCCACTCCCTGCCTGATCTCATGTTCCTAATAAAGCTTTCCTACTGCAAATAAAACTTGGACTTTGACCCATTTGTTCTTTGGGATTAAGAAGGAACAGAAAGGAGGTGAAGGGAGAACCAATTGAGTGTTGGTTAGGTTTTCTATCAGTTGACTTTTGCTTGTAACAAAGCAACCCATAGTTTAGTGAATTCAAATGACAACCATTTATTTAGCTCATTATTTTGCAGTTGGCAGTTTAGACTGGGCAGTTCTATTTTCCTTCATGCATCTATGGTCAGCTGCAAGTTGGCTAGTGGCTCTGCCTCTGGGGCTTGGCCACATGCTGTTTGGGGGTGCTGGGGGTGAATGAGACACATGACTCTCATCCTCCAGCTGGCTAGCTCAAGCAAGTGTCCAAAGAGAGTGAGTGGAAGACACAAGGCTTCTTGAGGCTTAGGCTCTGAGTAATCACTTTGGCTGCACCTTACTGTCCAAAGCAAGTCCCAGCTTTGGCCAGATTCAAGAACAGGGGAAATAGACTCTTCTTGAAGGTGGGATCTACAAAGTCACATGGCAAGGACATGGATATAGGGAGGGCCATAACTGAGGCCAGTTTGTGCAAACAGTCTGCCATAGTCTATTAGCAGGTCATGTGTTAGGTACAGAGGGAAACAGGACAAAAACAATGTGGTTTTGCTTTGGGAGATTTCATAGATGGCAAAAAATATAACACAAATAAAGTGCTCCAAGGCACAGTGAGGAATATTCCACAAGACACCTGCCAACAATTTTCTTCAAGGATTCTGACTGGGCCTGATACAAAACTCCTTGTCCTAACTAGTGACAGACGGCCCCTCAGCCTATGTTCCAGATATTACAGCTGCTTATCAAACCTTCCCAAAGCTTGGAGGCTTAGAAGAATGACATTGGTTTGGGGGCTTGGTGGGGACAGCTCACCTCTTATCCATTTGTTGTCACTGTGGCTCATAGGTTCGGGGCTGGAGTCATTTGAAGTCTTGCTCGTATGCCTGGCCCCTGGGCTGGAAAGACTCAGATGTGGGGGCTGGCCCTGCAGGGGCTCCTTAGCAGCTCTGTATGGAGATTCTCAATGTGATCCCTCCAGCAGGGCAGCTTCAGGGTAGCCATACTTCTTATATGCTAGAGCCAGGAAGAAACTGTTTTGCTTTACTATCTAGACTTGGAAGTCATGCAGTGTCCCTTCCACTGTAGTCAATGGGCCTGCTTAGATTCAAGAGAGGAAGCGCCGACCTTGCAGTGGGAAGGATTCAAAGATGACTCCAGTTATTCAGTCAAACACCAATCTAGGTATTACTGTGAAGGGATTTTGGAGAAGTAATTAAGGTCTCTAATGTGTTGACCTTAAGATAGGAAGATTACCTGGTGGGCCTGACATAATCACATAAGCTCTTTAAAAGAAAAGAGTTTTCTTTGGCTGGTCATAGAAGAGGAAGTCTGAGATTTGAAGCGCAAGATTTTGATATGCCACTGCTGGCTTGAAGATGAAAGGTGTATGTGGCAAGAAATGTGGGTGGCCTCTAGGAGCTGAAAGCCACCAAGAAAAAGGGGATCTCAGCTCTCTAGTTGCAAGAACTGAACTTTTCCAAGAACAAGAAAGAGTTTGGAAGCAGATTTCTCACCTGAGTCTCCAGATGAGAACTCAGACTGGTCGACACCTTGATTTCAGCCTTGTGATACCCTTCATAGAGAACCCCTGCAGAACTGTGAGCTAATACATGGGTGCTGCTTTTTTTTTTTTTTTAAAGATTTTATTTATTTATTTGACAGAGAGAGACACAG